GCTATTTTGTACCACAATATGTGCCCTTGAGGGGTAAAACGGTTCAATGCTCTTGCATTTATGGATTTTGGATCTGTCCACAGATAATGATAATAGATTACAAATTAGCCTATCCAAGTGGAACTGCTACGGCTGTTCTTATCAATGGATTCCACACTCCTAAGGGAGACAAGATGGCCAAGTAAGCAAAGCATGGGGTTTTATGAATTGTTGTCTTAACTAAATAGAATTCGAGTATGAAAGAACTTAAACGAGTTGGGATTATTTTTGGCAGGAAGCAGGTTCGTGGGTTCATGAAATTCTTTTCCATCAGTTTCCTGTGGGGTTTCTTTCAGTGGTTCTATACAGGTGGAGACCAATGTGGATTTTCCCAGTTTCCGACATTTGGATTGCAGGCTTGGAGGAATTCGTGCGTGATTTTTACAGCTTTTCTTTGTACTTCATTCGACTCTACTTTGATTACTCATGTCATCATCATTGATTGAAGATATGTATATTGAACCCTGCAGATTTTACTTCGATTTCAGCGCCACTTATGTTGGAGCGGGAATGATCTGTTCTCATCTTGTGAACTTGTCTTTGCTTCTTGGTGCTGTGCTCTCATGGGGAATAATGTGGCCCTTGATAAAGGGGCTTAAAGGAGAGTGGTTCCCCGCAAGTTTATCAGAAAGCAGTATGAAGAGTCTAAACGGTTACAAGGTCTGAACTGGATGTTTCAGTCCACTTTTTCTTAAGCACGATTCTCTCCTGACTCTCTTCCTCTCTCTTTTTTCTGAAGCGAATTGTTAGTATTCATTTCCCTCTTGCATATGTTTTCTCTTTGTGAACTTCAGGTTTTTATCTCCATAGCTTTGATCCTTGGAGATGGGCTTTACAATTTTATCAAGATACTGGTTTTCACTGCCTCAAGCATCCATTCCAAAATGAAGAATAAGATCCACAAAACATGTAAATGGGTGACTTTTACGTGTTGTTTCCTTGTTTTTATTCATTTAAGATTCTCAAGCTTAGTGGAAAGCTAGTATTTTTCTTTTATTAACTTTACTCCTACCGCTATTTCCCTACGGCAGCTTTGAATAACCAGACCGAGACTCTTGATGATCTTAAAAGAAATGAGGTCTTTGTGAGAGACAGAATTCCTTTTTGGGTAGCTTGCACGGGTTACGCCTTCTTTTCTGTTATCTCCATCATTGTTATTCCAATGATGTTTCCGGAGCTCAAATGGTATTATGTGGTTGTCGCCTATATGCTTGCGCCTTCTCTTAGCTTCTGCAATGCTTATGGCGCGGGTCTAACTGACATGAACATGGCATATAACTATGGGAAAGTGGCTCTCTTTATTCTTGCTAGCCTGGCCGGCAAAGACAATGGTGTAGTGGCAGGACTTGTGGGTTGTGGTCTGATTAAGTCCATAGTTTCCATATCATCTGACCTAATGCACGATTTCAAGACTGGCCATCTCACTCTTACGTCGCCTCGTTCGATGCTTTTGAGCCAGGCCATCGGGACAGCCATAGGCTGCGTGGTGGCTCCGGTCACTTTCTTCCTCTTCTATAAGGCTTTTGATGTTGGGAACCCAGATGGGGAATACAAAGCCCCATATGCTATAATTTACAGAAACATGGCGATTCTTGGTGTTGAAGGCTTCTCGGCCCTGCCACAGCACTGCCTGCAGCTCTGCTATGGCTTTTTTGCCTTCGCCATAGCGGCCAACCTGCTGCGAGATCTCTCTCCTAAGCATATCGGGAAATGGGTTCCTCTTCCTATGGCCATGGCTGTTCCTTTCTTGGTTGGTGCTTACTTCGCAATCGATATGTGCGTGGGAAGTTTGGCGGTCTTTGTGTGGCATAAGCTGAACTCTAGAAGTGCTGCGCTGATGATTCCTGCT